GTTGGGCCCCATGTGTTGACTTCGCTTTTCTTGTCGTCTGGCTCGACAGCAGTCGCAAATTCAGGGACGGGTGTTGGTGCCGCCTCAGGCTCCGCTTCAGCAAGGACTGGCTCCGCCAGAATCGGTTCAGGACTGAGCTCCAACTTCAGCTCCGGCTCCGACTTGACATCAGGCTCGGACTTGATGTCAGTCTCCGACTTGAAATCGTGGTCCCTCGTCAATATCTGGTGCAGACCCGGCTCTGGCGAGGCCTCCTTCGACCACGATGCAAGAGACGTCTGTTCGGGAGATGGCCAGGGTGTGGCCTTCTTCCGTACGGGCGAGAGGTCATCATGCAAGATAGCCTTGGGCCTCAGCTGAAGAACAGACATGGGCGAGCCAGGCGGCGGCGGAGGAGAGTTAGGCCTGGAGCTCCCGGGACTGGTGATGGAACTCAAGAAGTCTGGGCGGACCAATATCCTCTCGCAGAAGATCTCGAGAACGGTTCTGAGAAGGACCTTGTTGGGCGACAAGATGCTGCTGATCTGATCAAGAAGATCAGATCCCAGCAAGGCCTTGGGGTCCTCTAGATGAGGCCGGATCCGAGACTTCAAGTAGTCGAGGAACCACTCGTCTGCTTCTGACAATGTCGGGTGCGAGTCTCTGGTGATCTCGAGGAGCTGCGGAAGTGTGAGGCCCGCTCCGTACTTTTCTATCCTGACTTCTGCAAGACGCATGAGATCAGGGAGATCGTAGGCCCGAGCAGTGGCGTAAGCGCGGATGCTTGTCCTGAGCTCGTAAAGCTGCTTGGCTGGTGTTTCGGCCTCCTTGGGCTTGAGGGCCTCGTATGTGCCCGTGTGCAGGTAGTGGACGAGCACATGGCCGATGTCTTCTGGGATATCGGGCAGCTCGGGAAGCCGGCTTTCGTAGGCGGCATGGAGCTTGGGGCTCTTCTGAAGAAAGTCGAGGGGAATGGTGAGCGGTGTGGAAAAGGGGATGGTGCATGGTGGGCTGGCGTATGGGCTGCGAATCTGGGATTAGCTGGACGGTCAGAAGACAGGGAAAAGTGTGGTAACTCACGATGTCTCGGGGCGATTATCGATTTCCTCCATCACGGGAAGAGCGACGATAGCGGCCTCTTCTTGCGAAGGCCCTGGAGCATCGGCCACCTTGGGCAGTGGTTCGATCGCTGCCTTTGGAGCCGCCAGAGGGGTCTGGGGCGGCTTGGCAGAAGTGCTGCTCTTTCTTTTCTTCGCCATGGCTGAGTTGATGAGAAGCGAAGTGGCAGCGACGAAGGTGAGTCCGATGAGGGTTACTGCTTCGACCGTGATGTAGACGTTCAGGTTGCAGGGAAGGGTCATTGCGGTTTGTTGTTTGTGCCGTTTCTTTGGCTGGCCGAGGGGGTGCTGAAGGGTGGGCATTTATGCCCTTCCATCTGGCCAGCGAGAGGCGACCAAAAATGGATGTTCTGTCATCTGGTCTCGCCATTTGTCGAGTTGGGCCTCGATGGTGGCCCTGGAGTGGCTTGCCTCAGCTGTGGTCGAAACGCCCAACAAGAGCCCATCCATCGCCACTCGATCGAGCAGCCCTCCAATCTAGGCGTTGCCCTGGAATTGTCCGTCTGGCGGTGATGTGTCTGAGGAAGTGGACCAACGACGGTGCCAAAATGCAAAGGCACCAAAGAAAGCAGATGTGACTCAACCAATGATGCAGTCGCGCTTTCCCAATCGGATTACCCCCCCGCCACGGGTTCGCTTTGATGGCCAGTCGCTGCGATAGGGCTGCTACGAATTGGCAAGGGCATGTGAGCAGTTCTTTCCCCACGTGGCGGGCGTGCCTTCCCATCGTGTCCGAAACCAAGGGAGGTGCGCCTTGATGCAAAAAGCCCAATGTTTCAGCAAAAAAATGCCCGAACAGCAGAGCTTCGTGCGGCAGATGACTTTTCTCACCGCCACGTCGCCAACCACGATCGCGTCAGCCATGTGAGGCATGCGACGGCGAGTTAGAACGTGGTGCCTGTGCAGGCCTGGCTGTCAGCAAAAAGTCCAAATTGGGAACTGCCATTGAGCTTTTAGGTGGCCCGTTAGGCAGTGTCCGCGCAACCTCTTCAGGCCGGGGTCCAACCGTCGCCAGCGGCGCTTCTTGGAAAATGACTGCTAATTGGCAGTGGCAGTGAAGCTGTCCAAGGAACCCTCAGAAATTGACTGGCTCTTGGTGACCGGGGAGACGCCATGGAAAGCACTGGACGCTGGCTGCCCAAGTAAGCCCAACCAGCAAGGGTTAGGGTTGCGCACTTGCCAAGATGGGCGACTGGGCACGCGACCTGCTCGGCTGGGCAATTGATCTCTCTCCTTCTTTCTTCCCCGATTTATCTAAAGACATCTTCTTCTTAAGATTTTATTTGACCTTCCGTCACATCTTAGACACCTAGATAACTGTCTCTTTCGCGTGAGCCTCTTTGTGTGTCTGGGCCCTTGTTCTCAGTGAGCGCACCTGGAATTACAAGGCTTGACAGCTGATGCCTTTATAAAAATCATTGATGCCTTGATAAGACTCTTCAATATCTTATGAAGATGCACTGATGTCTTTGAAGATTCCTTGCAGCAATTTTAGCCGGTGGACAATGGATGACAAGAGGACCTCATGGCGGCAGAGTAAGCAACTCCATCTCTGTTTTATTTGTCTCTCTTTCCCCTCAACACTTGGCCGATAAAAACTCATCACATTGGATAACGTTTTGTCTAAAACGAAGCCGATGCTCAACGTTGCCGTACCGCACTTGTTCAACTTAAAGCCATTTGCAGGGATCATAACCTTCTTCTCAAGCCTGGAGTCTCTGCTTTCTAGCGGCTCCACAGAAGGGAGTAGTTCTGGACACCGAGGTGATGTTATCGGCGATGATATGATAACGCCGAGATAAGTCCTTCAAAGTTCTTAGCGCTGCCAGGACTCAAACATGGTGATGATTACTGATGGTCGACAATGCTTGGAATGCACCCATGAACAACAGCACGGCCGTATTGCCCTTTTGGATCGTGATGGTAATTTTGGTGTGCAGCCAATAGAAAGCCAACGATCTGGGCTTTGTGGTGGGGCAAAATTGGCCGTGGAGCCTGCTCATTGGCGGGACTCAAAAATACCGCGTTTCGGTGCCGAGCCTTAGTTCCAGCTGAATTGAATCCTGCATTGGCTCTCAGCTCAGTTCATGTGTCCATTCCTCACCGTCACACACCTTCTTGATCCACCCTTCCTCAGAACTGAAACACTTCCCACCGATCCAAAAGCGATATTTTTGGGAGTCCTTAATCTATACACCCATATGGCCACGAATACCCCAGAACCCACACCACCCCCTGACAGCGCTGGCAGCGCCATTTCCCTAGGTGGCGACACTGGCCTCCGGAAAAGGCCAAACGCAATATGCAGCCGCAACGGCATCGCCGAGATACTTGATGTTATCGAGCAACTCTCTGCGGCTGAGATTGCCTCGTGTGTTGTTGGGGCTAATGCTCTGCGGTACTATGGTGCAGAAAGGGGACAAGATGTATGCCATTCATGATTCCCGTCATCCTCAAGCCTCATCAAGTCTCTCTAAGCCTTCACCATAGGAATGGGAGCTATGTGTACTTGACGAGCAGCTTGAAGCTGCACGCCTAATCTTCACACAACAAACACCTGTGTCAACCCCCGCAACAGCGCCTGTACCAACGCCTGCACCATCGCCTGCCATGGATGATGAGAAGGAAGTTGAAACCCCTGACCCAATACCAGACACCGAAACAAGCAGAAAATACGAACCAGCAACATTGGCATCTTACCCCACGCCAGGCTCCCTCCGGCACACCTTCCCCTCCTTCCACTTGCGCGGTTACGTCTTCTACTTCACCCTGATCCCCTCTTCAGACAGCTTCATCGACCCGACATCATGGGAACACGTCGAGAAAAGCAAGACCGGCGTGCCCTACGCCAGCCTCATCCCGTTCGCACGGTCCTTACTCGTCCAGCGAGAAGCATCCGACATCGCGCAGCTGATCGACGGGATGCACCTCAACATTGCATGGGGCAGGGAGAATCTTAATCTTCGCGACCTCAAAGCCGAAAGCTTCAAATTTGACGAGGGACGTGCTGTCAAGTTGAGGCTACACGGCTGCAAGGTCAGTTTTGCCCCCGACAAGGAGGTGGATGAGATCTGGCTTAAGGAGGCTGGTGATGAGGCGAGGCAGAAACGTATGGCCGGTGGGGGAGGAGGAGGGTCGGGTGGGAAGAAGGGGAGGTTTCTTACACGATGGCGAGCGCCGAAACGGGAGCCGGAGGATCCGAGGCATAAGGATAGAGATGACGTCTAGAATACTGCGTAAAAGGGGGCAATAAAAGGGGTTTGGATAGAGTATAATATGCCTAATTAAACAGTTTAGATCTCTTCGTGATACATCTATGCATATACGACACGAGTAGTGGCGTTGGGAAACTGTCATTATCCGGCGTTGAACATGGATAAGCGAGTAAAGTTGAGTGGATATGGATATTGAGATAGAGAGAATCCACAGTGTTCTTGAGAGAGAGTCAGATATATGTACTCGCCTAGCGTCTCCACAACTCATCCACACATGAGTTCTCTGTTCTCGTGCATCAAGCATATCCCTCGTGGCGCAATTGGCTAGCGCGTCAGACTGTTAATCTGGAGGCTGTAAGTTCGACTCTTACCGGGGGAGACGAGAAGATTTAGAGATGGGCGTTGTGGTCTTTTTTTTTTTAAAAAAAAAAGTGCTTTCTTTCTTCCTTTTCTATCTTTACTCAGTTTTTTTGTTTTTTGTTTTTCTTTCTTTCTCTCTTTTGCCCCCCCCCCCCCCACCCTAAAATTCCCTCTCGCATTTTATATTAAAGTCACTCTATTAAGCATTCTTAGGCTTCATACGAGTTATTATAGGATTCTTATATCAAACTCAGTTTCTGCAGGCTGTGAGTGAGTAGAAGAAGTGGATTTCCGCTCCACAACACAACTCCAGGGAGCATTCACTTTAGGGTGCATGATCTAGTGGTATGATCTCTGTTTGCAATGCCTCGAGCACTTCGCTTATACAGACGGTCCCGTGTTTTATCCGCGGTGCATCCAAATGTTTATTTTTCTATGTTTCATCATGTTATATTTTTGGACCCGTCGGTTCACTTGAGCGATTTTGTCTCTAATAAATTTCCTCGGGAGACTTGGGAGTTTCAACTAGTCTAAATTTATCTGTGTTTCTTTATGAGGACCTCTTCGTTATATGCTGGAGATTGTATTCAACCTGACACACTCTCACCATTCTTATACGCAGTTTCGGTAGGTTCTGTAGGTAATGTTAATGGGATGTTGATGTATGAAAAAGTTGCAGCTCGGAAACCCTAGCTTTTGCTCCTTATCACAAGTCACAATCTCGTCACACTCTAAGGTACATGAAGTTCCTGCAGCCAAGCTCTGAATGAGGAACAGTTCTTAATCCGGATTTGCCGTTGTTTTTCGTGGGGGCGCTCTCAGCCTCATCGTTCTGGCGGTGCATCATTTCCAGATGTTCGAAGCTGACCTGCCCGACGACCAGAAAGCGGCGTTTCGTTCGTCTCGATCGCAAGCCCTTGCGTCGCCGCCAAAACCTGCCGATATGATCCGTTTTTACGGCTGAGATGGATAAGCACGTCGCCCCTAGCACTCGATGTTATGGGCCGCGGTTTACGAGTTTTCTGCAGTCTGTGCAGCAGTTCGCGGCGCTTAGCGATGTCCTTATTGGAGGCTCCCAGAATATTATTGCATGCGGCGTGTGGTCTCTTGTTCGCATGATGTTGCAAGTAAGTCATTCTCATTTCAGGCTACACATTTTGGAGTATTCATGACGCGTTCTGGCGTTCGTATCGTGGCTAACGTCCTTCTTGTCCGTCGTGAGCATACCGACCCTCCTCGATAAACTATCCTCGTTGCTGCTTTCCGTCGGACGCTCGGCCCCTCGATATCAGGCCATGGCGCTGTTGTACCCGCGATCCCAGGCCTTCAAAACAGTGTGGCGGAGTACTTCAGTGCGGTGGTGTCATTATGCCATCGGGCCGTCAAGTTCACACAGAAGTCTTCGTTGGGCAAGTTAGCGACATCCATCGGTGGCCTTGACATAACATCGCACCAGCTACAGTTGGAGGGCTGGGCCAATGCCATCAAAGAGGAGGTGATGCTTCTTATGGCTCGGCGACTCGAGGAGGAGGCACTGGAGAACTCCCAATTCCGCGAGCTTTCCATTCACAGGGTGCCCGATGCTTTAGCCCAGAGCGAGCGACAACGAAAGAAGTTGCAGCTGATGAAGGGATGCTCCGTCTACGATCACGAGTTGGCATGGAAACAAATCAGAAAAGCTGGGAGGACAACCTATTTTCTCGAGTGCCCTGAGTACTAGCGTTGGAAGCTCGAGGACAACGACCCGTTCTGGCACGGCGAATTAGCACATTCGTCGTTGGTCTTGGCGGCAAAATTAGGGTCTAGCAAGTCGGTGGTCATGACAAATATTGTCGACGACATGATGCTGCACACGCACCAGCGGGAGCAAGGTCGGAACCGTCGTAGCATATTTCTTTTGCCAGCACGACGTCGCTGAGAGTCTGAGGGCACGGACAGTTCTTGGATCACTTGCGCGTCAGGTGATCGAGGCGGTACAGACTCTCAATGACGCACCCCACTGGTTGTCTGGGGCCCATGGCTCCCTACCAGATACCGATACCGTGCTATCTATGCTCCAGCTAATCTTGTTGGACTACTCGAGAGTCGTCTTTATCATCGACGGCCTTGATGAATGTCTGTCTAACGAGAAGCTGCAGCTTCTTCAAGCACTTTCGAAACTGATAGAAACAAAGCCGGGACTATGCGTATGCCTCTCTTTGCGAGTGGAAGAATGGAACAGTTTGATGAAACACGCCGGCACAATATCGCTGATCGGCAGGGCCAGGTTGACGAAACCTCCTAGTAACACCTCTGATATCAGGACCTACATCAATTCCACCCTTGCCAACCGCGTCGAGTCTCGGCGGCTCGTTGTGGGAAACGCGAAATTCGTGTTGGAAATCCAAGAAGCGCTGCTTCAGGGATCTCAAAGCATGTTCCACTGGGCAGTTTTGCGGATCGACTCCCTCTGTTTCGAAAGGTCGGACGAGGCAATTCGGCTCGCCTTGACCCGCCTCCCTCACGATCTCACCAAAGCATATTCCCGAATCCTTCATAGAGGTTCGCGAAAGGCGGGTATGACGACTCGCGAACTTGGAGAAGCTCTGAGTGTTGTTGTCGGCGATACGGTTTGGAACCACGAGAGAGTGATCAATGATGTCTACGATGTGCTGGCGTGTTGTGGGAGTCTTGTGGTGGTGGTGGATGAGAACAGCTTTCCGTTCAGTTTGTGCATCACGGCATCAAATAGTACCTATTGGGCACACTGTCCGAGGCACCCGACGAGCCCCCCCCCCCCCCCCCCCCCCCCCGGACCTCGCATGCTCTCCTTCATGGATCAGCCTTATACAACTTCCGAGCCACGTCGCCATGATACGTTTGTGTGCACCACGGCCGCAGCACAAAGGAGGATGGCCAGCATAATCGTCACATACCTCAACTTGGACGTTCTCGAGAACCAAATCTCGACGCATGTAATTCCGCCTAAAAAACAACTCCCAGTCCAGTCCATGCCGTCCAAGATTGTCCAGTCCACACTAAAATCAAATCCCGACCTGAAGAGCAGCTTGAAGGTTCAAGCTCTCGCACTGAGGCTACTACGCACTTCGTCAGGAGCCGTCGGGACAGCCACCACCACGGAGGCCGCCCAGAATATCAGCAATATTATTGGTGGCCAAACGGCTGCAGCAGCTCGTCCTCCATCTCCGGTCGGCGAGGAAGCGCTCCAGGTTCCTCGCCACTTTCGCAAATACGCCACTAACCATTGGCTCAGCCATGTTGGAGTCCTTGCTCCGGAAAACAAACCCTTGTTCCACTTACTCTGCAAGCTCTGCGCAGGAAGCATGGTCGACGCCAACGCTCCTAGAAGAGATCACGCCGCCAGAGATGGAGGAGCTTGACCTGCAGCTCGGAGACTGCAGACACCCCGACACAAGTCCATTCAAACTTGCTGTCTCCAACGGCGACAAGTTGCTGGTGAAACTGTTTCTTGAATCAAAACACTACGCCGATAAATGCATGGAACAGGACGGCTGTCGCATTCCTGAACGCTGTCGTGCTGCCGAGACATACGACAAGCGTACTCTCGACACCATCGCCCAGTTCGTGCCTGCCTCTTGGAAAAAGAACTTGACGTTCAATCTCTTGGGCACGGCAGCATCGACACACACCGAGCCAAGGCCGCTAGTCAAGGCATTGGTTGACTACGGCTTCATATGTTACAAGCGCGCGTGGGAGTCAGCAGCAGACATCGAGTGGCCCCCGTCCGCATGGCGGTATCGAAGTTCGATTCATCTATACCAACACGAATGCTACACCCGAAACGAAATAGCCCCGGACCTAGCAAAGGCCCAAATGATGATTTCTGGGGGAAAGCCTTTGAATGCGTGATGTACCTTGTCTTTGTAGGTATCCATATTGCCATAAACTGGAAACGATGGGGGCATCCCACGATCAGTTAGTAGCTACCTACCCACCCCCTCTCCAACCACTACCACCACCACCCTCACGCAAAGAAGAAAGCGCCAAAATAAGGCACCTACTTCACTTCCAATTCAACCTCATACAGATAAGCATCCCACCTTCCCCCTTGTGTCTTCCTTCAATGGCCACACCAAAAGTCATCACACCCGGCAAAGCACGAGTTCTGCTCAAAGGTACCTAGCGGAATTTGCGTCTCGCAAAGCTTGCAGCACCTGTAACAGAAGCGTAAAACTGGATTAGCCACCGTTCCCTACCGTCGTACACCAATTTTCCTCATCAGACGCAGGGATATCAAGAAGAGAAAAGAAGGGAGAGGAACAAAATCCTGTGCTGGCGAAAAAGAAAGAAAAGATCGTACCGAAGGCACTCGCATTGGCCGCGAGACTGCGTCGAGCAAGACAACCGGTACCGGCCAATCTGCACCGAGCACGAGAACGGGCCGGTGCTGCCCTGTCGAGCTTCCAGCAGGTCGGACGTTTCCGCGGCGGGGAGAGCAACTGCTAGACTAGCTGGAAGGTGGGCCAAGGCGAAGGCGACGAAGAGGGCTGAGAGATGCATTTTTCTTTTGCTTTTTTGGCAAGACGTTCGATAAAAAGGTCCGAGGTATATAGAAATAGGGGTTTGATGTATTCTTAAGAGGTGCGACAATGATGGTTGCGTGAGGCGTGACAGACAAGATGGAACGGCCTGAAAGACTTGACGTTGAGGGGATCATCGTCTCTTTTATACTCTTCCAAATGGTCCTCACCTCACACGTTTTGATGGGAATCAAATCTATTGCATGATCATCACCCCCCCAGCTCTAATTAATTCTACACTAGTATTACGGATGTAAGCCGCGAAATTAGCTACCTAGCCAAGCGTAGGTAGGTAGGGATGGGCAAGATCGGGATCATGACCTTGCTAAGGATAAACATGGAAGTAAGTTCGGAGTGAAAGAGGCGTACGCGTCCCAAGGCTGATAAGTTTGCCAAGGCTGATAGGTTCGACGAAGCTGACAACCTGGAACTTTCACAAAAGCTGACAGCTGGAGGCTAAGGACTCCCCGGCACTCATGCGGACTTCGCGGCCGCAATGAACGGACAGGATTTTGCTTAAGCACTCTGAGATTAAGTTTGGTTATAATGAATCCAAAAATGTTATAGACTGACTGGCACCGAACTATTCATTTCTTAAAGAGAACTTCTTACTTCCTTTTCCGTTTTTAAAGTGAGAGCCTTCGAACGTCGTACCTGGCAGCTGATTCCCTAGGTTAGATTTGCTGTGAACACATGATGCATACCTCCTTTTATCCGTTCCGCCAATGTTTGAATTATGCCACCGCTGCCTTAGAAACAAGTGATATCCGGAGCAAGATTCAAATACCAGTAGTAACGGAGAGCAAAAATCAGGCAGCAACAATGCAGCCCCACTGTAGCGACCCTAACACTAGTGTCAGCTTATATTATCATAAACCT